GTTCTGCACTATCTTTAAAATATTGATTTTTTAATTTTGGGCTGGAAAAGTGGGGGGCGTCCTGTACATGGGGGCGTCTTATTATCAGAAAAATACGGTATATCCTAGTTAGTATACTCCTCATATTTTATGTATATGACAGACATCGGAGCAATTAGCAAAACTATGGATGTTTTCCCAGTGTATTATGAAAAAGGTTTGTATGGCAAGATTAAAATAATAATGCAATTATTTTTATATTAGTAGAATTATGGATTTTGCCATTTTATTTTCTGGACCTTTTTTTCTTTACAGGCCTGAGGCAAGATTATGCTTCAACTTCAGCATCAGTGTCAAGGAACAGTTCCAGTGTGTCTCTTCCTTTGGTCAAAAAAGGGACCAGCAGTGATCAGGAATTTGATCGTTATAGCCTTGAAGATGAAGAAGAAGAATTTGACCACTTGCCCCCTCCACAGCCTCGGCTCACACGTTGCTCTCCTTTTCAAAAAGGAATTCCCCATTCACAAACTTTCTCCAGTATACGGGATTGTAGAAGGGGCCCAATTTCCCCATATTTTCCCTCCAGTAATAATCAACAGCAGCCATTTTATTCTCCTCAAGCTCCAAATCTTCTGGAGTCTCAGTCAAACAGAATTAATGGAGGTAAGGCTGGCTGGCTTGTTTGACCTGAGTTTTTCTTGACATCAGTTTGCATCTGATCCTGGACACACTGTAACACCAATTGGCTGTTCTTTTTTGACAATATACCTAAAAATAATTCATAAAGTATTAATATTCTAGAAACAGTTTCCTTCTTTTCATATACACCCCATGGTTCAATTTTTTTTTTTTAATTTCCCCACACAAGCACATATTTTTCCTTCCATAAGAAGGAGATTCCTGTGTTTAGCAGTATGAATTTTGGTGCTTCAAATGGAGATCTTGGAATCTTGCTATTCCCAGCCATCTCAGCCATTCTGACAGGGATGGGAACTATAATCCAACACAATTGGAAGGTATCAAGTAAGGGAAGGTTAATTTAAATGAAGGATCAAAATTCACACATCTCAGTAAACTGCACGCATTGTGAGAGTGACTCTGAGTAATGGATGCTGCTGGCTCATTTTCTGCCAATTGTTTTGCACTAAAATTCTTAATTGTAGTGAGTCTGTCAACATTTATTTATTTTGGGGGAAATATAATATTCTTTTTTATTCAAATAGTGATATACAGTGCATTTGGAAAGTATTCAGACCCCCTTCACTTTTTTCAATTTTGTTATGT